GGAGTGGGGAAAACTCCCAGACCAGCCTGGGGACCTGATGGCACCTCCACCTACGCTACCTGCCTGGCCAGCCTGCCAGAGGACGAGGACAGTGTCACAGGCAGGCTGGGGACCTCACCCTGTTTCTCACTGGTGTCCGATCACCACACGCTCCAGATCCCAAACCTGGGATCTTGCAGTGAGCATCTTGCTGTCCATCTGTGTCCTCCACTGGGATGAACACAGCTGTAGGCCAGGGAAGGTGGGGACAAGCTGCTCTTTCACCTGGCATCCTTTCGCCTGCAGCCTGAAGTACCAGCTCTCATTTTCTTTTGCTTCAGACCCCAAATTGGGATGTTTTCACACATGGGAGGTCCTCTGTGCACCCCTCCATAACACACTCAAACCCAAGCCAACTGCACTGACCAACTTGCCAACCAGCAGAACTTACACTCACAGTGACCCCATATTCTTCCAGCTGCACGGAGCCACTGAAAGCCTCTGCTATTCCAAATTCAAATAAAAAAGGTTTATCAAAGATGTTTCTACCCAAGGTCTGCACCCCATCAGGGAGATGGCAGCAGAGGGGCCATGGGAAATGTTTTCAAACAGAAGCCAGGAAGAGGAGCAGAATTATCTCCAACTGACAAAAGCACGAGCGAGCCACGAATTCACCAGCAAGACCCAGCAAGAGAGGAGGGTTTCTGCAGCACCTGAGCCCACCACTGAGGTCAGAGCAGGCTTGCTTTGGGTGGAGGTACAGCCCCATTTCTGCAAAGAGCTGCTGGGACTGAGCTGCCACCTTGGGGACAGGACCCTGCACCAGGTCACTGTTCCCAGTCCTGCTTTATTTTTATTTTTTTTCTTATTTTTTTTTCCCTTCCCTAAGAGTTCTGAAAGGTGACATTTGCAGTGAAAAAAACTCACGTTTCAATAACACCACCAGGGGAGGAAAGAGAGGACTATAGACCAGCAGCACCTAACAACGGTTAGAAACACAAAGAAAACACAGCTACCACAAACTCCAGAAGAAAGCACCGAAGCACTCGAAAACACTTCTCTTTTGCTGATCAACAGTTTCTAAGCTAATCCGACAGTATGTCACAGCCTGGGGGTTAGAGCCAGCCGTGGGCCCTGGCTGTAGCTCCCTGGCTCCGTGCCCAGCTGCCGGCAGAGCCTGCCAGACGCCGCGGTCACCTGTGGGCGTTGCTGGTTGCAAGCTGGGCACCGAGACCTTTAGGTAGTCCATTTTCATGGCAACAGCAAAAGGAGAGAATGAGAGTCACCCAGGAAGATGTGCATCACCGCCTCAGGAAACAATTCCTGCCTCAGAATCACCAGAAAGCTGAAGAGACGAGGCAGAGGATGCGAATCCCGTGCGGCAAGTGAGCTGGCACCGCCGGAGGTTTGCTTTTGACAGAAAGCCCTGAGGTGGAGACAAACCTCCTGAAGCCGTGGGCTTGGCAGCCCATCAATTCCCATCCCATCATCCATGGTGGGGGCTTGGCCCAGCCTGTAGAAGAATGGGGTTTTCCTTACCCCGGTGTGCAACATTCCCAGGAAGTCTCCTCCCTGCCAGGATCACACGAGGCAAAAGCAAATCCCTGCAGGCTGCCAGCACTGTCTTCCCATGGCCCTGGCTGCCAGGCCCCCGGCATCCCTCCTCCCCAGAGAGACAGCAAAAGCTGCTCAGACACACACCGTGGAGCTATTTTGTGTGTTTGATCGTTTTACTGGATATCAGCAAAATGCCACAGCCTTCCCTGACATTTCTTTTCCTCTCCTGAGCTCCAGCAGCTCCCCAGACCAGGGACAACCATTCCTGGGCTGCTGGACTGGCCTCATTTGCAGGGAAGCAGAAGCAGAGCTGGCTTTAGAAGAACAGAATAATAAGACCTTCTGGGCACTGCACTCCACGGGGCTGGGAGTACTAAGAAGATGAAAGCAGACATTGCAAGGCTCAGATCTCAAAGGGAACGGTCTGACTCTCCAGTCGAAGCATTTTTCTTCCCAGCCTGGCCAGCTGCAGGGTGGGAAAGGCAAGAGCTCCATCCAAAATGCAGCAGATGACCTCCAGCCAGAAATCCCACCCTTGCCTCAGAAACCCACCTCCCACAGAGATTTCACAAAACAACCTGCTGGTGATGAGCTTGATCACAAGGACAATAAATCATTTCCCTTTTTGGAGCCAGGTTTACAAACACAGGTAGCTCCTACAGGCAGCTGCAGAGCTCCTTGCCATGGGTCTAAGCTCCAGGCATCCAGGCTTAGTAGTGGTGCTTCTCTGGGCATCCCAGTGGTAATTTACACAAGACCCTGTCTTCTGCTGCAAAAACATCTTGCTTCATGCTGCCTGCTCCATTTCTTCCCTCCACATTGCTCAGCAGCACCATGGCTGCTTGTCACAGCACTCTAAAGCAGAGCAAGGCACAGCCTCCCCTTTCCTTGCAGATACCCCTGGCCAACCTGGTGGGCTTCAGCCAGGCAACAACTGAGCGGCAGAAGACAGAGGCACCACAAATCTCCCCCAACAAAGCCACCTCTGTCACACAAAGCATAAGAATTGTTGCTTTAAAACAAAAATCTGCCATGCCACAAGAGTTCAGCGTCCTCCACCCACGAATGTTTTGTACCAGCTGCTGGCCAGCAACAACCCACGTCCCTGTGCTAAGTAGGTCTGTTTAGGTCAGGCTGGAAGGGCATCGTGGGATTTCTTGCAGGCAGGAATGATGCCAAAGGTGGCAAAAAGCCTCTCCTCTTCTTGTTTACTTCACCTCGCCACGGAGGCAGTTCTCAAGGACATGCCTGGCTGGAACTCTCCTGCCTCCAGAATTTGCCCCAGTGCTCAAAGTCCAGTCTCCTGGCTCCAGCACGCTCTGCTCAGCTGCCTTTGCTGCTGCTCTCAACGAAATCTGTGCTCTTAAAGAGCTTATGGCACCAGAACAGCTCTCACTCACCCAAGCAGATTGACACAACAAGCTAGAGGAACGGCTCTAGTTGCCTCCCCAACGCAGTGAGCAACCTGTGCCCGAGGGAATGGGGCAGCCAGATCGCTGAGAGTTTGCAGGTCCCCAAAGTCCCATCCAGGGCTACTCTCACCCACAAGCAGGGCTGAACAGGCAGCATCTTTTTTCTTCCTCTGCCCTCAGTGAGGGCCTTCAAATTGAGGGAAGGAAGACGGGGAAGGCAAGCTGTCCCCCACCTCCCCAAAAGCTCCCATCCCCACTCCGGCTATTCCACCCTCCGGATCCACATCCGATGTGGCCACGTATCTCCGGCCCAGCGGCAGGACGGGGGGTAAAGCTCCAAAGAGGGAGGGAAGCCAGCATCGACCGGAGGCTGCCCGCAGCCCCTCCTCCTG